TATATATATATATATATATATCTTATTTCAAATTGAAAATATTTTAAATTCTTTTACCTTAATGAATAATATCTAAATATCTAGATTTATTTTTAAAATATGAATTAGCTTATGTTTGACTTATTAATTATGGCATTGTCCTAGATGGTATAATTTTGAGATAGACAAAATATTAGTAATATATTTTTTCGAATTTAGGTTCGACGAATTGGTATAGAATGACGCCGATTTTACTTGACATGTGTTACCATATCAAATTATCAAACATATAAATAATATTGTTGTTTTTGTGAAAGAAATAATAATTTCACTTCTAATTCGATTTTTCTTTTTAACAAATGAGTTACTTTCAATTATTGTGTCTGACTGTTTTTCTTTGTTAGCTTGTTGCAACTGCTATGCAGTCTTTTGGTTTAATTATGATCCTATTTTACATTGTACTATAAAATTTAGATTGCAAAGGACATTTCCTAAATACGAATAACCCTTTTTGAAATCTTGGCGAACCACAGATTGTTGTTTTAATATTAGAAAAGTATTTTTAAATTAAAGTCTAACATAAGCTGCTACGTCGAATAGTATTGTTCAAAAAGCTTAACATGTTTTTAAAGTTATAATGATAGCCAATTCAAAAATATTTTACAAACTTAAAACCACGGTAAATTTATTTACCTTCGAGTTGTTTGTGTGATCTCTTTGCTATCCATTCATTTATATCAAATTTGTTTTCTTATAAATTAATTTTTTTAAACTTATAATATTATGTGATAAATGAATTTAAATTATCGCCATGACTTATTCAATAATAGATTATTAACAACGCGTGATAGAAGATTTAATGGAGAAAATTTTATAAATTGAGTAAACTGAATATCCAGGTTTGACAAATTTGTGACGAAAGGGAAGCAAAAAGAAAATCTCCTATTACGAAAATACAACCCATAGTATGTGATTATGTCCAGAAATAAAAGATAAAACCACTGTAAAAGCAATGCAAGAGTTCGAGAATTGAGAATGAGTAAGAATAAATATTATACTTTTGAAGTCTGGATGAAATATCTTACGAGCAATAAAGAAATACAGAATAGATAACAATGACCTCCATTTGAAATACAGATAACCAAAAACTTGAATGAAAATAAAAAAAGAAGCCACATCCTGCAATATAGCACTTGGATCAAAGGGAGAGCTAGGATTTCAAGCATATGAATACGTGATCTTAATCATTTTAAGTTACTAGGTTCTAAAATATTAATTTGTATATATTTAATGAAAATTGTAAGATAAATACATGATTTGAACTAAAATTACTGTGTTCGTGGGAACCCGTAGATGACGCTGTGGCTCCGCCTCTGACTTGGGCCATGCACAGCATAGGCTATTCTTTACTAGTGAATTTCTACGGTCGATGAAAATTTCGAGTGTGGATAATTTTTGTCTTGGAGTAATTCAAATAAATTTCTATTTATAAATTACATAAATTGAAGTGCTCGAAGTGTATAATTAGTGAACACTAATATTCAATCCCAACTCCGGCTATTTTAATACAAAAGTTTAAGGAGTGTTGCAATACCTTATTATACTGTTTGTTCTTGTATTTTTCTCGAGCTTCGGAATAAGAGTATAGTAGTATTCTAATTATACTTATAGTGAAAATGAAATAGAAAAATATTTTTTTTTGGATATTCTGTTTGTTTAATTATATACCATCCATTTTATAGTACCAAATATTAGGATTTAAAGAAAAAGAAAATATTTTAATAACTAAAATTTTAATTGATTTCGAAATCTTAAATATTAAAAAAATAATTAAACGACTATTTTGTCTATTATAAAATTTATTTTTAAAAAATAAAAAAGACAAATGACAATTCACTAAAGAATTACTTGCTTTTTTTTTACTTTTATCTCTTACACGGCAACGTCAATTGACGGCACTTTCTTTGTACTTGGCAACGTCAATGGACGACACTTATTTTGTATTTTCTGTCCCAAAGGCCATAACTGACCATTAGAAACATGTCACTATTTTTTTTTAAACCATCTTTAGCAGTATAAACTTTTTGACTTTTAACAATATAACGGTTGTCATCTTCACAAAGTTGCATTTAGCTTCGCATGGTTATGCTGTTACTAATAAAAATGAAAAGATTATCAAACTTAATCTGGAGAGAAAATTTCGAATATGTAAACATTTTTTCTTAAAGATACTAACACTTCTTGACACGTTGGGTTATAATGAAAGAAATGCCATTGAAAGTGCTTGTGAAGGCCTAGTTCACGAAGCAGTAGGAAAAGGTCATTTAGAAATAAGTTACGTTATTGACTTTAATTATTTTTTAATTATTTTTTCTTTTTAGTTTTTTTTTTAATTATTTAAAGTTGAAATCCTAACAGACCTTAACTTGTCTTCCATGGTTAACCGGTAAGTTAACATAAGTTCCTTTTGCTATTTATCAAAGTCATTTTATCAATACACAACTGACTTCCATCCGCCTATAACATCTTTGGGAGTTTAGCCAAGGCCATTACTTTCCTATTCCTACTATTTTTTTTCCATTTTTTCAATTTAATAACCTATTATAATTATGGCCAATATTTTGGCTAATGGAGTCCATCTCACATAAGCATAAGCATCTTTGCAAAGTGTAGACTTTGTTGGCAATATTCTTTGGGACCCAAAAATATTGCATTGTGTGTTGGACATCATTTGCACAAGTTATATCTCTTCTTTTACACCTAAGAGGCCAAAACTTTTTTGCCTATAAAAGGGAAGGCTATTAGTTCATTTTAGACACACCAACAAGACTTGTCTTCAATTCTTGTTTCTTCCTTTATTAAGAGTGTTTTGTATGAGAATTAGTGTTGGGAAGCACTTGTGTGAACCCTTTCTTTGGAGTGATCTTGTGAGGTTATTCTCGTAGGGTATTTGTGATTAATTAGAGTGTTTACTCTAATTTTGTACTCTCTTTTGTACCCTTATTGTTATAGTAAATTGCTCCTCTCCGCTTGTGGATGTAGGTCACTTTGACCGAACCACGTTAAATTTGTGTCTTCTTTATCTACTTTAATTACCGTTGTTATCAACTTCAATTATCTTTGTTATTATTATTATACCGTTATTTGGCTAAATTCCGCACCACCCGAATTCCCGATCCTAACAAATTGGTATCAGAGCCGGATCTAACCGGGTTAGTTTCAATAGCCAAAATGACTCTAACAAAGACCTATGTTGAGAAATTTGACCGAAGTGCAAACTTCAGAATATGGCAATTAAAGATGGAAGCTATCCTAATTCAGGATGGCTTAGACTTGGCATTGCAAGGAAAAGAGAAGAAGCCGGATAAAATGACGGACGAGAAGTTTGCCATCATAGACAAAAAGGCAAAAACATGTATCATTTTAAATCTCTCAAATGAGCTTTTACGTGAAGTTTCTGTAGAAATTACAGCTAAAGGCATGTGGGAAAAATTGAAAGCCTTATATATGAAGAGGACGGTAGAAAATAGACTTTACCTGAAGCAGAAGCTTTATACAATTCGTATGGGTGAAGGTACCTCTATTCTCTCTCATCTTGACACCTTTGATTCCATTATTATGGATTTGAGTAATATAGATGCTAAAATTAAAGATGAGGATCAAGCCGTGTTATTGCTTTGTTCTCTACCCCATCTTTTAAGCATGTAAGAGATACTATGCTTTATGCAATGGATAATATCTCTTATAAGGATATTAAATCTATCTTAAAATCAAAAGAACAGATAGATAGTGATATTACTGGGGAAGCTTGGAACTCAAGCGGAAGTTGGCTTATTTGTTAGGGAAAAGACTCCATATCCAGATACAATAATTTAGAGTGTCGCTATTGTCATAAGAAAAGTCACAATATCTCCGAATGCTATAAGCTGAAAAATAAAGAAAAGCATAAGGAAAGGAAAAATGAGCAAAAAAATACTGACACTGCCGAAGCAAGTATAGCTGCTGATGAGACTGAGGGAACTATTTTTTCGCAACTAATAATAGTTTCAAATCTAACAATGAGTGAATTTTAGATTCGGGTTGTTCTTATCATATGTGTCACAATCGGTATTTATTTACCACATGAATATATTGAAAGTGGAGTTGTCTTGATGGGCAACAATATTGCCTGCAAATTTTTTGGAAAAGGTACAGTTCGAAACAAAATGCACGATGGTGTGGTGAAAATTCTCACTGATGTTAGACATGTTCCTGATTTGAAGAAAAATCTCATCTCTTTGGGCACTCTAGAATCTCTTGGGTGCAAGTATACAGGTGAAGGTGGAGTTCTGAAAGTTTCTCATGGTGCTCTTGTGATCATGAAAGCACACAGATCTGGTTCGTTGTATACTTTATTGGGATCCACTGTTATAGGCCTTACTACAGTTTCGGTATCAGACAACTTATCTAATTTTGATGGCATTAAATTTTGACATATGCCCATTGGGGCTTTTGCGGAGAAGGTGGAGAAAATTTACTATATCAGCCAAAATTAGGCCAAGGTGGAGATTTGTAATTATGGCCAATATTTTGGCTAATGGAGTCCATCTCACATAA